CCCGTTGGACAACGCGAAACTGACGTCGTTACATTCCGGAACAGCTACTGTAGGTTATATACCTAATCATAAAGAGGGCAAAATTACTCAAATATGATTGGCTAATGAAGAGGGCATTTTTTCTTAATTCAGGGCAAAAATACTTGCACCTGATTGGCTGAGACGCAATCGCGGTAATTTTGTTGTTTTAAATAGGTATATAAAAACAATAGCTTCTTGCTTTGCCGTTGCGGATGGTAAAGGCATTGAATAATTAACAAATTCACAATTAACTTACGAATAAATTTTGCCCTCTGTATGATTAACAAGTAATCGCATATAGTTCCTCATAAAATTACAGTTTAATTTCAGTATTTCACTTGTGTTTTCAAAGTTTCACAAATTGGCCTCGTTTGAAAACACGCGTGAAATTAAACCTTAATTTTACTCGGCCCTATGCGATTACCTATAATACACACTGAGCTGTATAATAACTGGAGGACCTGCTCCTATACTTCGTTCAGTCAACAAAGTGTCCGCAAAAACATGGCGGATTTTGAGTGAAAATGACGCCATTTCCATGACAACACTTAACTTTATTTTTATGTTAGGTACCACTTACCAGGCTCAATTCTGAGCCGACGGCCGTTTTCACACACCCCTGGTTTTTGCAAAACATTTTTGCAGATAATATAGTTCTCGACTTCTCGTTGTTTTGAATCCTTTTTTAAAATGTTTTCGAGATAAACTTTCTGCCTTTGACCATTTGGTCAAAGATATCCAAGTCGTACGTGTTTAATCTCGCCCGTGAAAGACGACAAACTAATTTTAAAAACTCAAGAAATGTGGGAAAAGACGATACTTGAAATATATAGATTTACACTTGGATTTACAAAGGTAAAAAAAGTATTTTCATATTCAATTTTATTTAGACTTTTATATCTTATTTGACATCTACTATCAGACTATCTTTTAAAAGAGGGAATTAGGTTTTGTGTTATGCACCACTTAATTTTATGTATAAGCTGGGGGTGCTGGAAGCTGATCTGGGAATTGGTGGTTTCTACCTAGCTTTCTTGCATGGTTGGGGATACTTGTGTCATCTAAATAGTCATATAGAGGCTTGAGATAAATTATACTTTTCCCTAAGCTGAGGTAATAAGGTTTAGCTGAGGTGAGTGCCAAGGCCTACATGTGTGATCGCACCTCATTCCCAGGATGGCCTGTTTTCTTACAAGTTTTCTCAGTAAATATCACTCTGAATAAATAATGTACTTTATAAGTACACTCATAGTTCTGATACCCCTGGTTTAAGCTGAGGAGTATGTTAGGTCACATTCTTTTGTTTACCTTGATCATATGCTATAATTATGTTACTGGTGGATTCTAGTACAACCTGTATAATTAATCTATCCTTTTTATTGCAGATTTATTCCACAATGACACACTCCTTTGTGGGTGGCAAGATACAGTACCAAGCCATATCTTTGGAAACTGAACATACTGTATTTTACATGCTTCCAGAAATTATGTCACCTTGGCTATACAGTATATATAGGCTGTAGAGTCATTTTCATGATTGAGACACTGGACTAAAACTCATGCCACATTCATGAAAACAAGGCTCCATAGCCAAAGTACATACACATACTGGAAGGGTGTACTTGACTTTTGGTAAAATTATTAGCAGTAAACAATTACGAAATATACTCATTCCAACAGTCAACGAAACGTGACGTCTGTTAAGATAATTATACTTGCAAAAAAGTTGAATTATTTTAACTGTTTATTATATTCATGATAATCCACCCGAGATGAGTGGTTTATCTTCCACATCACCATCCCAAATAAATCCCTATTTTTAATTCTTAACAGTGACTGTATGAAAATCTTCAGTGTGGAGCACTCCTGAGGATGTAGCCATTATGTAATTGTAGTGCATTATAATTATTTGCCTTTGCTATATATACCGTACACTATATTAATTTGAGACCGGATTCTTTTGGTGTTTCTTAATTTTACCACCTTAAATAGACACGAAGATCGTGAAGGGGAATCTCACTCTGGATCCCGTTACCCAGCCCAAATGCTATTATTGCGGTCCAAAAATAGGAAATAGGGCAAATCCCAGTTCCCATTTTAAATTATACTCTTTGAAAACACTCAGACAAGGACGTAAACATGATTCTGGATCTAAGGTTTTAATACAAGCAAGACGATACGGCTCCAGACTGGCAAATCTGGAACCCTGAGCTCCAGCAAATCTGAACCCTGAGCTACAGATACGATTCCAAATTCGAGTGGAAACGACTGGTTTGTAAACAAACTGCTTTGGCCGCTTAAGGTGCATATGACATGAAATTTTTTATTTTCTTAATTGAAAGAACTCTTTAAGCTGTAGTGTAACTTATTTTTCAGTTTCTTGTTTTTATGGTTTGTTCCCGAGATATTTCAATTTGTTTGACATGTAAATGAGTGTGAATATGTCCGCTAATTTATGACGTCACGTTGGTTGCAGGCTCCTTAAAATGGTTGAATATCTCTGCTATCATCCAGGATAATAATTTCAAACTTCACTCACTGGTAAATGTGATGAAATACACGTCAAAAACGTAAACTGATATCTACAGTTTTTAGAGTTAATAGATTTATAATCAGTGTAAGTTGAGCTTGCAACCAACGTGATGTCATAAATTAATAAGACATATTCACACTCATTTACATATCAAACAAATTGAAATATCTCGGGAACAAACCATAAAAACAAGAAACTGAAAAATAAGTTACACCATAGCTTTCATTCAAGAAAATACAAAATTTCATGTCATATGCACTTTAATAATGGAGGTTCAATTTTTTTAAAACTTTTACTTATCATATTCCTTAGTACGTGAGAGAAAATAAAAACACTGTTCCGTTCGTCCATGGTGGTAAATGCTCACTGTTTTTCTGCCAAAGGGGTTGTTCAGCGAACGTGTCGATCGCAAAGGTCTTTGAAAACTTTTTTTTTACCTTTATAATGAAAAACTTTAATTTATGACTTTCGAATTTTGAAATACAACTTTATTCCTTTTTCCAGTTTTCATTGACTCTCACACGATTGTCAATTACTTCCTGATGCAATATCAATAATGCAACAGAGGTACAGTGTGTCTACAACGACACAACAATGACCATTCATTTCTAAAGAATGTACTTTTTCAAAGTAACTTCAAGCTATAATCGCGATAAGTCGCGCAATGATGAGATGTCGACCTCTATAACTGAACCAGCAACTAACATGCGAACGAGCATACTCTGAGTACGATATTGCCTCTGATTAGACCCCGTGCATTTGCATGCCCACATTCTAGTTAATAGCAGGTTTTCCCCTGAGATTATTAAATGTCCGGCACGTGCCAGACAACATGGATAATTATCATTTATTTACTGAGACCGAGG